AAATTACTCTCATTTTACTTTACCACAAGTTATTGTCCTGTGATGTACAGGCAGTTACCCATCAGAATGTTCTCCCAAGAAATACAACATTCTCCCAAGAAATGAGAGAATTGTAGCTTTTTTACTATAATGTTTCTCAAACAGATAAGTAATTACTAAGGAGGATTTAATCTCTTATGGAGAAGCTACCACAAAAAAAGTGAATAAAAGGATACTTTTGTTTCTTTCTTAATAATTTTTACATAGAACCTCTAGAAAATAATTGTTTTTTTGTTGTTTTTTTTTCTTTACAGATTTTCCCAAAACTTTCAGGTTCTGGTAAACCTGACCTGACAGGTAAGCAAAAACTAAAATGTAGGTTCTGCCTGTCTCCTGCATTCGACATTTGTTTAAGAAACAAAAGAAACAAACACCAAACCCAAACCACCCCAAAAACACAAACCACAACACACATTAAAAATATTTTAAAACCTGTTTCTTTTATATATATATATATATATATGGAAAATTGACTAGGATTTTTAAAGGCTTGAGAATATTTTATACTGTTCCCGAAAGATGGAGGTTTTGCATTTCTATCTATCACTATCCCCTTTTTATTATTCAAAAGTGTAGACAATATACAAGCTAAATTAAACTCATCTCTTCCTTCCTGCCTTAAAATTTGCCCTTCCTTGGATATTTTATTGCCTGGGTTTATCTTTGAAAGACTCGAGATCTTCAAACAGCACGGTCATTTGAGGTTAATTCTGTGATTCACATTTAATAGCAGAGGATAATCTGCATCACACTTTGCAAAGAGTCTCAAATTCAGTAATACCCTAAATGGCACCTGTGGAATTTACACTTTAATAGTATAGTATATTTTAGCTATGCTCTATAGAATTGTTTTAGGGTTCTTCAGTTGTTTTTTAAATTCTACCAATTCATCAAGAAACACTAGAATTGTCTCAAGACAATGTTGCTTCAGCTGTATGATATAAGCAAAAACATTTTATTCTCATAGCTTATATTTATAACTTCATTTCTTTCAGCTTGGAATCACATGTGACAAGATTAATCACATTATTAATTGCATTATTACTCAAGCATTTAAACAGTTTTGTGGGTTTCTTTTTTCTTTTTTTCTCCAATATATTAATCAGAGTGCTCATCCAAAATAAACAGTGAGAATCTTTATGACATGAGCAACATATTAAAACTGCACAAAGCTTTTCTAATTGCCTTAATGCCTCTAATTTATATTCTCTGCACCCCCACTGACATGAATAGCACCAACTTGGTTCTATTAGGACCACATATAAGTACTGCTAAGTGCAAAATCTCTAGTTAACAATGTAAAAATTTAAATGCTTCTTATGACAGAATTTGAGTGTGTTAATTATAATCTTGAGAAAGAGATTATTTTTTGCTTTGGCTTTTTGTCCTTCACAATGATGTGGGAGGCTCTAATAAGGTCTACAAGTTATATCATTTACTCAGCATGGACCAGGGCATGATGTGCACAGATATAACACCCGGAAATTTTAGCAGCCACTGAGACTGCACTACAACTTTAAACACTCGATAACAAACTAAAATGCATGTAAAATGCATGCACCATCATGCACATGCATGTAGTTGAGCTACATTTTTTGGAAAAAATTGGAAAATTACTTCTTTGAACATTTGTGCTAGGTAGTTACTTAGTTACTAGGTGAACATTTGTGCTAGATAGTTACTTGAAAACCTTACTTGGGTTTTCAATGTCCTTAAGTAGAGAGCATAGTAACAGTGCCTGTCTAAATGCAGCTGGTTGAAACAGCTTCAAAATTCATGGTAAGTTTACTTAGAATAACTGTTTGTTTTTTTTCTTAATGCTATTACCTCTTATTAATACAATATTTTTGCAGTGCAATTGCTCAAAAATCAGTCGCGTAAAAAATAACATGCAAAGGTCCAGAAAGAGCGATGCCTACTCCCAATACACAGCATTTTTGCCTGGGGCTCCATTGCTCTATGGAAGTTGTGTATTAAAATATAGTACAAAAACATACATCTTTCAGACAGTCTGAACTTTGTCCCTATCCTGTAATGTTACAAGAAAGAAATCAGAAAACAGACAAACAGCACAGATTTGCACAAGAAAAGGCTATCGGAGTTGGGACAGGACAGCCATTCCTGATGCAGAAGGAAAGCTTCAGCACGCTTTGTACTCTGGAGAGAGGGTTCAAGCAAAGTTCAGCAATTTATCCTTGGAATCTGTTTATTGGTTGTGACCACAAATGCCATGGGCCAAATTCTGCTGTAAGTAAGTGGAATTTCCTTTCAGTCAAAGCTGAGTTTGGTTCCAAGAGACGCAAAAGAGTGGTGGCAAATCTGAAAGAGCCTGTACTGCAGCCTCCACTGTAAACTAATTCTGCTGTTGTGCCATCTAGTGCAACACCAATTACATCTACACCTGCAAGCTTAGATTATATGGGTCAGCCAACCTTCTGAACAATGACTGTGAACTACTAAGTCTTTCTTCTAACAATTAGGTTCAAAGAACTTCTTGGCTAATCATGCATGATAGGTGCAAAGTATCTGGACGAGATTTGTGTAAAGAAATATTAAAGACTAGGGAAAGGACTCCTTGAAAAAACTTACGGAAGAAATAGAAATAATTCCTTAATAAAACCAGCAAAGCAAACTGTATGACCATTGTTAGAACAATAAAAATGACCATGTAACTCCTATTAAAACTTCTTCCAGGGAGGTTTGAAGGATAAAATCTGTAATGTATGCATATCTTTAAAAATAGTATCTCATACTGGAAAGCAAAGCTAAACGTCCTTAGGAGTTCCATACTTCAGACTAGCACATCAGTAAATTAAAAAGTTTGGTTAACAGTGAATACGAGAGATAAACAATCTTAGGAGCTATGCGAAAAGGGAGTTCAAATTACATTTTAAAATACAACACTGAATGGGATTAACACTTCACTTGGATATTTTTTTTATAGACAATTGCTTCATTGAAGCCAGAATAGGATGATAAGAAATTACCTCTGAGACAAAAAATATTTATTCTTTTATACCAACTGGGGAAAAAAGATGCAGAGAAGAATACTTCAGAAGAGAATAGCCTCAAGATGCTGCAATGTAATTTTTGCACAAGTTCAAGAACTAACATAACAATATCCTTCTAACATCGTTCTATCCGTTTAACAATGTAAGGAGTCCACAAAATTTTGCAATAATTGCACATCTTTGCATTTATTTCAATAAGCAAAGCCTGTACAAAACTGAAGCTCCAACCTACACACTTATATGATGATAGGTAACACACACTGCCCCTATTCCCACCATCTGCTGGTATTCTACCGCAAGTTGTTGCTCCTCTTGGTTGGTCTTACCTCCTCTCTCAGATCGATACAATCACTATGCCTCTCTTTTTCTTACACCCACACTTTCTACTATGCTCAAACAGCTAACCACGTTTTGGCAGTCAGGAAAATCAGAACAACTCAATCTTTGAGCAACTTTTACTTCAGTTTCTTCCTCAAAGACTTTCTTTATATTGGTAAGTATTGAATAATCACTTAAAAAGCCCCAAACTATGGTGATTCTTTACTATGACTTTATCCAAGGAGGTGAATGCTATAATATGAAATAACAGCCAGTGCCTTATGCCTTTGGAGAGAATAACGCAGCAGTAGTAAAAGTGGTTAAAGCAATCCTCTAACATTTAAAAGGCATTTACCCATGGGGCAAATGAAAATCTAGGAAGCAGACGAACTGTGCAAGTCAGCATAATCTATTTTTACTGCTTACTAAAAAAGCCTTACATGTTAGTATTCTCAAACAAGATCAGGCCATAAATGCATAAACACAGTAATAAATGAATAAAAGGAAGTATTATAACAATTCATATGATTATTATAAGCCATCATCACCATGCGTAAGTATGTATCTGTTCACTGACTTTATTAAAAGCAAGATTGTGGTCTCTCATATGCTATTATACTGGCATAAAAAGATCATACAGAAGCAGCAGATGGGGTGAATAAAAAAAGAGAAAAGAACCTCCTATTGCAGGACAAACAGCCACTATAAACAACCATGAGCAACCCCCTCTGATGGAGTTGCATGAAAGTGCACAGGGTGGCTTTGGGAAGCAGTGTTAATCTCACACATGAGACCAAATGCCTACCTATTTGTGAAGCAACTTTCATGGGGAAAGAAGCAACACATTTCTCCACACCACACATTCTCATTGGAAAAAAAAAGTATGCTTTCAGGAAAGCCCTGGACTGCTTAAAACACTGCTTTTTTCCACAGTTGTATCAGCACAACTTACATGTATTCAAGGACAGGCTACCATTCTAGTTGCTGCAGTCAGAATTTGGACATACAAAGGATTTTGGGACACCTGCACTCCCTGTCCTCTTTTATCCCCAGGCCATACGCACTGTAATGATCCTCAGATGTCCCTCCTGGTTACAAGACCAAATGTAAACAAAGACTTCAAAAGTTCAGTTACTTTGGTATCCTTTTCTTATGCCAACTAATTTACATTAGTCAGAGAAATGTGATTTATATTTTCAGTGCTCCTTTGTTAACTACAAACATGCTATTTTCCCTTACTTGCATGTTTGCCTGTGACATTAGCACTTCCCAGACACAAAGCTAAACACACTACAATGTAGATCACTCCCTTGTAATGTGTAGTTTCTGTATAAATTGTTAACTTTTCAGAACATTTACACTGTTAACCAATGTTGATGCTTACACATTTAATATCATAACTGCTCTTTAGCACAGCTCATTGCTCAGAACTTATGAAGTCACTGGAGTCCTAAAAATTCTGAACAATCTATGCTATTGTTCAGTTACTGCTGTAAATTCTTAGCAGCCAAAATGATTGCTATATTTTGCCTATTTCATACTAAAAAATTATATTTTAAGCTCATCACTTACATTATTGCAACTCAGAAAAATAAAATCTAGTATTTGCTGTTGCTACTTCTTCTTCCTTACCTTCTCATATCCTCCTTTATGTGCAGATTGATCAGCTCTTTCGGAACATGGAAAGAGAGGGTGGTCTCAGCCATCTGTTCCCGGATCCGCATCCACTTGTTGTCAGAAGTAGGGAATCTATATAACTTACAGATTGGGTTTTTTAACACTGCAGAGAGGAAAAATTATATCATTACTTTACTGTGGTTATATGACTCTCTGAAAATTTATGACAAAAATGATATTAAAAAATAATACACTATTTCCTGCTTTGCTTCCAGAGTTAATTTTAGAACCATTACAATTCTATTAAAAACATTAGATTGTTATTTAATTTATTATAGCAGCATGTGGAGGACAAAGTATTACTAGTAGAGTAGATAAATCATGTTTTCCCTGCACAGGAGGTATCCTGTGAATTTAGCATTTCAGTGTAGTGAGAATGTAAATTATGGTCTCTATTCTTACACTTTGGCTACAGTTGGAAAAAATTAAATGCAGAAACAGAAAATGAACTCACATACAGTCAATGCCATTGCTCACCATCTGCTAGAATCACTCACGTTGATAATAAATTGCATGGGACAAGTGAAGCATGCCTCAGTTTAGCTATAACTAATACATCTCCATGATATGCACACACAGAAGTCACTAATACCGATGGTGTGCATCTGCATTAAAGGAAACTTGACCATTGATGTGGTCAAAAGGATGTCATTTTATAGTCAGCCTTATCACTGACTTCATCAATAGACTGCCACTACATAAAAATAAGTATAACAAGCCTATAAATATGATAAACACACTGCTCTCAGCATCTATCTTGACATAGGAAAATCATGTTACTTGATGTCTTGGAAGGTCTTACTAAAAGACCTATCATATTTTTTATCTTAAAGCTCTCACGTGTTAGCTATGTTTCCGGTCAGATCTTACAATGATGGTCTATAATAAAGGTGAGAAATTTCTATCCTCTCCTTTCCTTCCTTCTTTTTGATTTTCTTTCTTTTTTTTTTTTTTTTTTTTGCAGGAAGAGCAAATGAGGAAAGAGCTGAGAAAGAGAAGTTTGATCTGACAAGCTTACCTGGAGAAAAATGACTCTCATTTAACACACACATCATACAACTCAGAATGACTTTGGACAGCCATCCAAATCCTCCAACAGTACCTTTCTATCAGCCTTCTGGAAAAAGCTGCCTCAGAGCAGGCTCCAATTGATCTGCCACTGAATGGTCTATAGCTCCTAGGAATGCATTTCCCATGTGTGCTGCAAGGAAACTGTTGCTGTCAAAATGACATCTACTAATAGAAATTTCAGCTTCAGAACTCACTTCCACCATTACTGCTTATGTAGGCTTATTTACGGGGAATGAAAAACACAGACCAAGTTTTTGAATACACACAAACTGTCTTGTCTATTTAATCAAACTGTTTTTAACAGAAGTTCCTTCAGAAAGGCTAAAACAAGATTAAATTTGAAGAGAAACTGGAAGTCTTTTTGGAGTCATTTTGCCTTTACTTAGCAGCGTTTTTACTTACAAAAACTAAATTCTGACTTACTGTTATGAAATAGGCCTAATAGATGCTTGATAGCTATGGCATAACATATGCTGAATAACAACAATTTTTCTTTACTATTAATACCCCCAAATACTTCAATGTGCAAGCATCTTAACACACATAACACAGTTCCAGAAACCTCATCACACAGACTTAACTAGTGTCTACTACAAAAAAAAAAATCCCATCCAAGTCCTTTGCCTATGATCAACTTAAACCTTAGTGTCTGGACTTTATTATATTGATTATATTGATTAAAATATGCTGCAATACTTTCCTATTTTCCTCCTTTTTTGCTGAGATACTTCTAATTAACAAAATCAGATTTGTCAATATTATCGCAACCTTTGTAAATCCACAAAGTAGATATATGGCACCTATCATCTTCCAGGATCAAGACAGGGAATGAGAATCTTCAGATCTCAGGGATGGCTCAAGAAACTAAGGGCTAATTCAGGTCTGCCCTTAAAGAGACACTTGCCAAAACACAGATGATGATTTAATGGTGATTTTGTCATTGTTGTGCGAGTGGCATTTTTTGTGTATGTGTGTGTGAGGTTGTGGTTTTTTTGTTTTTAATTCCACCTGCTCTTTAGGAGCAGGTTGATAATTTTTTATTACAATATTTTTAATATTAGGATATTTTTATTTTTTATTAGGATATTTCAAATGATGATGCCGCAGGCACAAAAGGCTCTTTTCTCTATTTTACCTTATTATGTCTAGTTCCTAAGAAGTTATCAAAAGATGTTTTTCCAAGAATAGCCCTCATATTTGTACTCAATCTATTACATTCAAAAACATTTGTCTGTGAGAACCTAACACATGTATGTAGCTCCACAATCTCTTTTCACCTCTCTCCCTACCATTACCACAACCACCATGGGGAAAAAACAAAGCCAAACAAAAAAAAAAAACAGCAGAACAGACAGCAAGGGAGACCAGGAATAACTTTGAAAATGTGGATCAGAAAGTTGTGACTTTTATCACTGTTAGAACCATTAAACTACAATTCAAGTACTACCTCCAAGTCTGAATTTTCAGATGGGGATAATCTCAAACATGTTGCAAGTTAAAAAAAAAAAAAAAAAAAAAGAAAAATATATAGCCAAAACATCTCTCCATGGGTTATAAAGAAAATTTAATATAAAAACTGAGAAAAACCATCAACAGGAGCTGCAAAATACTTGACATCATGTGTTTCCATAAAAATCTCATGTGTTTTCCTTTCCAATTACAACAATAATTGCTTTCTAATTACAACAAGTCATCTAAAAACAAATTCTAGAAGGCATGTAAAACCACCCAAATAGTAAGAATGGCAAGACTAGATTTGTTTTTTATAAAAAGTAGTTATTAAAATGACTCAAAGCTTCATAAAGGTAATCCTTCCTATATTTAGACAGTGATCATGAAAAACACTGAAAAAAGCCCAATCCAAGAGATGAACTACTCTGTTTAAAAAGAAAAACCTATTCTAAAAGCCTTTCTCTACGGTAATGAAGCCTAAAAGCCAATGCCATATCTTTAACTAGCCATATTTCTGGAAATTATCATTTTTAAATTTAAAGATTTCTGTGGTTTTATTCCATGCAATATCCTTTACACTTCTTCCCCTGCAAGTAAAATGAAAACATAATAAAAGATTGGATACTTTTTTTCATTTTTATTCCCTATCAAACATAGATCAAAACATACTGCTGCCATATATTAATTTACTAAGTGTTTCTAACTACATCTTCCTTTGTCACATAGGTGTATTATGCATATAACCTTGGGAAGAATAATTAAAATTTTCTTAGTTTTTGCTTAATTTCAATTACTTTTATTCTCTTTTTTATTGCAAAGTTCAATTTGTTTACATGCAAACAATCAGCAAACTCTCCTGTGTTATAAACAAATAACTGAATTTCAAGACACACAAAGTTAATCTTTTGGGGTATAAATGGAACAATGATAAGACTCTGAAATATGATACTCATTCCCGCTCACTCGGTAAGTGCCTCATAACTCACTTGAGGGCTGTGAGTTCCTTATATTAAGATTTAAATTACAGAGGAATGCCAATGTGTATCTATTCCTACAGACTTCAAGATTCACACAGGGGTAGTTTTTCAGTTTCATAGTTTTGAAGGCCTGATAAACCACAGGAGATAGTAAAAGAATTTGTTACAACAGTATATACATGTACTAAATACATATCTATATGGAATATATACTGCACCGTAATAGTTCTGTGTGTACACAGCAGGGAAAGTAGTGCAGGCAATGCTGATGTTATCAGGTTGCCTGTAATGTACTTGTACTGTATTACTGATATTGTTCCTTTCCCTTCAGTCCCTGTTTTTGGTTGCCTCTAATTCTGCCACACAAATTTGTCTGGCTTAAACTGATTATTTTCTGAAATTTCCAGATACACAGAATGAGGCCAGAAATCTGCAACAGAAAATTCTGTGCTTTATAAACTTGAATTCTGACAGCAGATCTTTTACAGGGATGTGCAATTTCACCATATATGACAACAACATAAGCATCGGGAGAGAAATTTCAGTATGTAAAAACTCAAAACTTGAACTTTACAGCTCCTACATGCACCAAGGGTCTACCTGTACTGAAAATTCTTGCGGCCTCCCCAGTTTCTAACACCACCAAAACTGTGCACATGACAATCATACAGAGTGGATGAATATGTTTCTGGGCAGAGCTACTGCGTCGTACAATATGCTTAAGGGCAGCACCGAATTACCCATGTGAGAAAGCCAGTCTACAGACAACACAGGAATTTGATCCACATGAAGAACAGTCACAGCAGTGTGCTGGACAAGAAGTCTAACTGGGTGGGCAAAAAGGTTGAGAATATAAAAGGAGAGCTAAAATTTTAAAAAAGAAGAAATTGGGAATTCAGTAAAGACACTGGGACTGACAAAACCTGGAACTAGTGCCAGGTGTCAGCAGGGAAGTGCAGGCAACTGGAGTGAGAAGAGGAAGTCACAACCACAGGAAACAGACTGAAGAGTATGTATTTACTAGAACAAACTTCCTGTGACTGAAAACTTTTTCCAATATCCTGTGTGCTGTCATTTCTTGCATACGCATCTGCAGTTCTGATTTTTTCCCTCAACTCTTTTAAATAACAAAAAGTGATCAACCAAACAAAAACCTACCCTAGTAGTGTTGGGTGGGGGTTTTGGTTTTATATTGTGTGTTTGTATATGAGAACAATAAATGTAGAAATGTTAAGCACTGTCTAGATAAACAAAAAAGTCATGTGCAAATACTCTTGAAAAGTGATCTAGACTTTAATAATCATAAAATTGGCATCTGCCTTGGAAGTTCCAAAAAACTACAATCCCCAAAGTACGGCATTTCCCCATAAAAAAAAAAAAAAAAAAAAAAAAAAACCCCCAAAAAAAAAAAAAAAAAAAAAAAACACAAAAAAAACACAAAAAAAACAATGAAACTCACTCAACAGAGACAGCAAATTGAAAGAAATCAGCTGGGAATCAGTAACATTTTCTCTGTACAGAAATGTCATTTCATTAAGACCCACTAATGTGGGTGACATAGAGAATCAGAATCAAGGAATGGCTGCACTGAATTGGGCCAAATTGTTCAACTGGCTCTGTATCTTGTCTCCAAGAGCCATAAACAGACACCTAAATATTCAAGATACTCTTCCTGCCTCCAGTGATTTTCAGTTCAGGAATTTCTGGAGCCAGATGTAGATCCTGTGTATTTAGTAATTCTCAATGAGTATCATTTCCACAAACATATCTAATCTCATGTTGAACTGTTGAAAAGAAATGGCAGCTCTGAAGAAGAAATTCTTCCTTGCTTTTGATCTAGTCTTAACAAGTCACAGAAAAAAAAAATCACAGCATTCATATATACATGGAAAAAAACTGTTTTTTGAAGGCTTCTAGTGCTTCCCTCAGACTGCAAAGCTAGTCTAGTAAGTCTGTCCTATCAGTGAAGTCATATGAACAAGTTTCATTAAAGGCTTTAAAACTTCAGTAACATTTGTCCTCAAATGTATGCAGCAAACACACAGAATTCTTGACAGCACTGTGGTTTCCGATGACCCATATAACTTATTTGTGACATTGTTACTGCAGAGTAATGGAGATTCATAAACCTGGGCTAATAAAACTTTTATGGTGCAGCATATCAGCATGGAATATTTCTCAGTATAATTAAAGAGAAACAGATCTAGTTGAACACTGGACACTTAAGCCCAGAGTTCACCCAGAACTGAGAACACCCTGCCAACAGCTTCCTTCATTTTAGGACATACAGCTTCCAGATCAAACTGAAATTGCCACTTCATTAACTATGACAGAAATTAATTCTTCAGGGTATGCAGTTACAAATAACGCATAATTATTTTTTAGACAAAACTATCAGGTTAATTCCATGCCCACCGAAGTCACTAACAGTCTTGAAAATCATTGAATGGCAAAGACATAGAAGTGCTTGTTTCAGAAAGCATAATTGACATAGCAGTCTTCCAGTATCTGAATGGGGCCTATAGGGATGCTGGTGAGGGACTCTTCCTTAGGGACTGGAGTGACAGGACAAGGGGTAACGGGTTAAAACTTAAACAGAGGAAGTTTAGATTGGATATAAGGAGGAAATTCTTTCCTGTTAGGGTGGTGAGGCACTGGAATAGGTTGCCCAGGGAGGTTGTGAATGCTCCATCCCTGGCAGCGTTCAAGGTCAGGTTGGGCAAAGCCTTGGGTGAGATGGTTTAGTGTAAGGTGTCCCTGCCCATGGCAGGGGGGTTCGAACTAAATGATCTTAAGGTCCTTTCCAACCCTAAATATTCTATGATTCTATGATTCTATGACATATATTTCTGGAAGTTTTCTTCATATTTCTCAGTAAAATGATACTGTCAAATAGGTACAAAACATTAAAATATTAAAAATTTGTGCATCACTTGAAGAGCCTTTTAAGAGCTCTTCCCCAAATCTTTGTGATTTCTTCAGGATCTGACATAGCATTGCAACACATTTTTACGGATGTTAGAATACTTACCTGCATTTAATGAAGGCAAATTGTCTTTACCACTTATGCCTTCAGTGGCTGCACATTCACGAACCAATGCACACTACAAAAGAAATGCAACAACAAATGTAACACATTCAGGTGTTACAAGGAAATTCATAGCAGTTTATAAAAGGCAGACTGAAAAACATCACTGATAATGTAACCTCTCAACCCTTAATTATAATTTACATTTTCCTCTTTATAGTCCCATTCTATTATACTGTAACACAATCAGAACTATAGCAGAGAAAATGGCAAAATATGATCAGCTATTTCATGATAAAACAGAAAGGTTTCTTACAGCAGAGGTTAAAATAATTTTTGACAACTTTTGTGCTTTCAGAGAGCTTTCTGGTGACAATGTAGTTTTCACATCCAGTGTCAGAAAGCACTCCATTGATTTTTAAACAACAGAAAAGTAGAAACCACGGGAAGTCTTTAAAATGTACTCACAGTGTGTGATTGAAGTAATTTGTTATACAAGTGAATTGAAGATTTCTTTGATCAGGGTATAAAGGTATTAAAAGTTCATGGCAAAATCAACAGTGTAAACCTATGTTAAATGCACATTTTTAATGCTTCTCCTACCTCCAGTCAGAAAAAAACAACAGATAGCCTCTAAAGGTGATAGGGAGCTCCTAGGGCTTCCCCAGTTCCTAGATACTCTGTTGCAGAGCTTAAAAAAGCAAGACATGATGTATTGTCCCACCAGTTGATATCTCAGACTGAATTTAACTATCACCTTACACTTCCATGAGGAATTCCCTGTACATAGTGAATCTAATGAATTGTCAAACCTGATTCAGAACTTACTTCTTTGAAATAATTCAATAACTTTACAGTCTCACAATTGCATCCTCACTATGAACATAGAAACCAAAACACCATGGTGCAACTAATACATAAAAACTAAGGAATCCTTTAAAGACCACAGAAAATTGAACTGTCATGAGGCTTGTCTTTCTTGACAAGTATTAGAACCCCCTAGAATCATAGAATCAACTAGGTTGGAAAAGACCTTTAAGATCATCAAGTCCAACCATTATCTCAGGACTGCCAAGACCACCACTTAATCATATTACTGAGGGCCTCATCTACACAGTTTTTGAACACTTCCAGGGATGGTGATTCCACCACTACCCTGGGCAGGCTGTTCAAATACCCGATTACCCTCTCTGGAAATAAATTTTTCCTAATATCCTATGTAAACCTCCCCTGGCGCAGCTTGAGTATATTACCTGTTGTCCTGTCACTTGTTGCGTGTGAGAAGACGCCAACCCCCACCTCACTACAACCTCCTTTCAGGTAGTTTTAGAGAGTGATAAGGTCCCCTCTGAGCCTTCTCCAGACTAAACAACCCCAGTTACCTCAGCCAATCCTCATTAGACTTATCCTCCAGGCCCTTCACCAGCTTTGTTGCCCTTCTCTGGACCCACTCCAGCACCTCAATGTCTTTCTTGCAGTGAGAGGCCCAGAACTGAACACAGGATTCCAGGTGCAGCCTCACCAGTGTCAAGTACAAGGTGATGATCACTTCCCTGGCCCTGCTGGCTATGCTATTTCTGGCTCCCTCAGGCTAGACAGAGTTCATTCATTATATGCCAAATAACTGTGGGAAGCTTTATTCCATATTTTGAAATAGAAGAAAAGCAAAATGAAAGAGAAGGCTGAAAAAATGGTTCATTTGGTGTATCTTGTGGAAGTTTTGCAGTACAAAACCACAAAGATTTCAGTGTTTGCTGGCTTCTTTGAACTGGTCCCACTGGTCCATTGCTTTAAAAGGGCATTGAAGTTTTTTAAGAAGAATGGTGAAAAAAGGAATGTAAAATCTATCCTCAGAATTTGGCTCAAAAGCAGACTGCTTTGGCTGAGCAGGAAAGGTATTCAGAACAATTCCCCCAAAGCTAGCTTCTTACATGTTACTTTCAGACAAAATAATGCAGTCCTTAAACTTACATTCCCTGAAGCATTACCTAATGTAATTTTTTTCTTTTCCCCACTAATAACAGAATACACCATAGTGTATAGCAATACACCATAGTATTAGGGCTGCAAAAATTCTGTTAGTAAGAATGAGGCTGCAGACACAGAGATAGGAGGAGGCAATCCTGTACAGGTATGTCAGTTACCATCAGTTAGGGAGCCAGTTAGAGAGACCTTTTTATTAACTGCAAATCATTCAAGCTCTGATTTCCTTGTTCTGAGCAGTCATTTCTGAATTTCCTCCAATCCTAAACCTCTTGTCATCATAGAAAAAGCCCATCCTTTCCATGTTCCTTCCTTTGCTTTTTTTTTTAAACTCTCAAATCCACTCTCCCCGTTTCAACTTCAACTGCAGTCTCCACCACTTTTGCCTGCAACAACCTGCCTACTTAAGAGCATTTTTGCTCTTTGCAAGCCCTTCTATCTTTTCTCTTGCCCCACACCATAAGCATCCAACTTAAAATCCCTACATACAACCTTCTGATCAACACCGCTCTATGCTACCACTTTAAGCCATCATTGCTATGCCATCCCTCCCACTGATTTTCCCCACAGCTGTGTGCTCCCATGAAATGCAGCTGAACCTTTCCCTTTGCAAGGGGACTCATCTCTTCTTTGGCTTGCTTGTCTGTCATTCTTTCAAGGTTTTCAATATTGTGGGCACAGGTTGCACATAAAAATCCATGGACTTCAAGGGCAGAAAATGGAGGAACTGTCCAAGGGAAAAATAAAATTTATGGTGTCTCTATGGACATTTTTTGATTAGGAGTGATCAAATACAATCAGTTGAGATTAACGACCTGTTAGAGAGCAGTGTAGGGGAGAGGGACCTGGGGGTCCTAGTGGACGACAGGATGACCATGAGCCAACATTGTGCCCTTGTGGCCAAGAAGGCCAATGGCATCCTGGGGTGTATTAGAAGGGGGGTGGTTAGTAGGTTGAGAGAGGTCCTCCTTCCCCTCTACTCTGCCCTGGTGAGACCCCATCTGGAATATTGTGTCCAGTTCTGGGCCCCTCAGTTCAAGAAGGACAGGGACCTGCTGGAGAGAGTCCAGCGCAGGGCAACAAAGATGATTAAGGGAGTGGAGCATCTCCCTTATGAGGAAAGACTGAGGGAGCTGGGTCTCTTTGGAGCAGAGGAGACTGAGGGGTGACCTTATAAGTGTCTATAAATATATAAAGGGGGAGTGTCACGAGGATGGAGCCAGGCTCTACTCAGTGGCAAACAATGATAGGACAAGGGGTAATGGGTGCAAACTGGAACACAAGAGGTTCCATTTAAACTTGAGAAGAAACTTCTTCTCAGTGAGGGTGACGGAACACTGGAACAGGCTGCCCAGGGAGGTTGTGGAGTCTCCTTCCCTGGAGACATTCAAAACCCGCCTGGACACATTCCTGTGTAACATTATCTAGGTGTTCCTGCTCCGGCAGGGGGATTGGACCAGATGATCTTTCGAGGTCCCTTCCAATCTCTAGCATACTGTGATACTGTGAGATCAAAATTAGCTCTTTTTTTCCTAAAGAAGGGGAAGGCCTAGGAAACTAAGGATAGAATATTACTCTGTAGGTTTTCATTAAAAACTATTTTTAGTTTAGGGATAGTAAGTGTACATAGTACTTTATTCTGGAAATTTTTTATTATATCTGTAACCCAATTTGGAATTAGCAATTTAGGTATTTGGCAAAGCTGATCATTCTAATTAAGGCTCACAATGAACTGAGTTTCTACCTTTTGATCCTGGGTATCTGTTGTGATGTGGTCTGTTTCACCATCCTCTAGCTCTCCCATCTTCACAAGATTGACTTCAATGGTACCAACTGTTTTCCCACCATCAGAAGTCCTAGGGGAAAAAAATCCACACATTGGGTCATCTACAGCACCGCATGCATTCAGTAAAAACATTGTTGATAAACATTTAGTTCCCTCTCCATTCTGCCAACTATGTCCCTGCCCATGGCAGGGGGGGTGGAACTAGATGATCTTAAAGTCCTTTCCAATCCTAACCATTCTATGATTCCAATCATAAACCAAATACTAACAATAAGGCACTCTGTATTTTCTCCAAATTCCTTATAATAGCAATCAAAGTTTTCACCACAAAACTGAGGATGGGTAAGCGCTATAAATGGTGGAAGAATCCATGAATATGCCAAGCTTTTATTCTAGACATTATTCTGTGTGTGAACCATGAGAGAAAGGGCTGTAACACTGCACCAATACCTTGCCTATGAACTTCAATCTCATTGCACAACACACTGCTTTGTTTCCTAACATAATCTGTGAAGAAAGGGCATGCTCAGTATATTAATAAACCTCCTGCTAAACCAAAATAATGAAACTAATCCGAATATCACTTTTCCTTTCCAAGTCCTTCTGTAGAGTAATTATTCAGAATCAGTCCCGTTTCTTCAACTATATGGGAGAAGATAATATAGTTCCAGATGAACACCTTTATTATCATCTCTGCAAACAATTTACTTCCAATTAAGCGAAAATAAATAGCAATTCAGATTTACATCTCCCAAGAGTACTGCTCACTACCTTTTAGGAGAAACCAAGGTTTAAACTCCAAAGAGATACTGAATGCTTTTCAGCTTTCACTAGTAGCAAAACACCAAGGTTAATGGTGCAGTCTATCTTCCCTGGCTTATTCTGAACAACTGGGTTTTTTGAAAGAAAAGATGAAGGTTAACAGATCATTTAATAACAATGAAGAAGGTAGAACAACAGCCACCAAGTAAAAATCGGCAAAAGGAAATGATAAAGTTTAGCAGAATTGCAAAATCACAGAGAAAAGAATGAAAACAAATGGGTTTGGGGTAATTGTGTCATCTCAGAAGCAAAGATAAGAAGTGATGGAGCAGGACAAAGGAATACAAAGAAAAGTGACTAGAGGGCTGGCAATAAAAAGAAAAAATACTTTCAGAAACAGTAATATTAGAAAAAAAGTGTTTCCATTAAAAACTGCCACATTCCTAGGGCAATCCTTGCTGCAGAAAAACATCAAAACCCCCTCAACACAGACACCCTTTGAGAAGTTCAAAAAACAGTCCTCGCACTGTATTAGCATAGGAAAGAAAAAAAATAAAAAACCAAACAGCCTTCTCCTCATTTCACCAACCAGGAGAAAGACTGCAATCCAAGGCCTGGCCTGCTGCATGGAACAATACCATGCGGAGGCACCAGAGCTGTACAGCTCCATGAGATAATTCTCACTGCCTTGGAAGCGCTGAGAACACCTGAGCAGCACTACGCCGACACACATTGTCCCCGGCTCTCAGGCAGGGCAGGCCTTGGACTTTGCCATGCACAGGCTTTCCCAGAGTGCCTGCTCATGTCCCAGGTAGAAGCACGCTGTCTCTGCGTTTTCCTCACACGATTTGACATCATCTGTATTTCTGCATGCAGCATAAGGCCTTAATTAAGTCAGAGCATGTCAAATCTTCACACTGACTCAAGTTAAGCGCATATGTCAGTCTTTTCAGGCATGGATACTTATTTATTATGCTAAATCAAAACTTTCATTTTTTACAGTGAAGTCTCAAAATACAGCTACCCTCAAGCTTCAAAATTAAATAATTATTTTGGTTGCAAACCATTATTCTTTAATATGTGACTCATTAAAATACATTCATCTTGTAACTACACAAATTAAATTTGTTCTTACATAAAAACTTGCAAAATTGACATAATTCTTCATATTTTACATGTGTCACTACTTCATTTCCTCTAAGCCAAATTCATTACTGACAATAAAATAAAGGAACAATAAAAAATGAACCAATTCCAGACAGCCTCGCAACCAAAGAAGCCTATGTTAATTAACAAAACACACAAAAGAAATAAGAAGTGTTCAATGTCCAAAGGGTTTTTAGGAGCAAAAATGTACAATAAATTTGAAATGCATGATCAGAACTTAACTGCCTTCTGAATGAAGAACATTCCCCTGAGTTGCTACAGCTTAGTGGTTTGATTTCATTTGTTTTCCCCTTCCTGTGTCAAACCAGCATGCAAACTAGGCTAACTCAACAAATCGACTACAGCATTTCCAAGGAGAAAGGGAATACAACAGATGTTATCAAATCACCTATACCTTTAAAAATCAGAGTAAAATGTGTGGCTGCGAGACTGAAAATTTTTCAACAGCTTAATGTGTCCCAACTAAAGCGTACAAGTGGACGACCTCATTACCAGGCTGACATAAATATGCAATAGCACTTTACTGTTATTCTAGTCTGAAAGGAAAATGTTGCATCCATTTGACTTTCAGAAGTAAAATCTTGCCCATCCTCTTTTAGGAAACACATTTTTCTAAGCCTAAAGAGACCTGCAAGTCTGAGACTGACCTACATAAAACAGATCTGATTTAAAACTACATCAGAGGAAATTAAGAGTATAAAGAGATGTTGAGCAAAATGGAGCTTAATTTTCAAATGAAGTACTACAAGCCAAAAAGGTATGTTGCTCAAGTAAAATAAAATTAAAAAAAAAAAAAAAAAAGCCAATTGTGTTTTCCCAGTCCTTGTCTCCCTTCCTTTAGAACACTAAATATTTCCCCTCATTGCTGTTATTAGCGGTTTGGCCTCAGTATGGCAGTGGGCAGTGCATTGCTTGCCTGCACAACTAGCAGTATAGATTTGGAAGCTTACTCTATACACGTTGGACTTTTTCTCAAAATCACTCCTGTTCTGGTCTAATATATATCTAATATTACAATTTGAAACATGCAGTATCTGCAAGCGGTCATGCAACAGAATAAAACTAAGTGGTGGGACACTGCATTGCAGTTACACTACTTCCTCCATTTCTCTTCTCTTTCCACATGGAAATATGAAAACACAATTAAAACAAAACAAAAACAAGAAACAACAACAACAACAACTAAAAACCCCAACCACTCTATGCTACAGGCATGCAAATCAACAAAGAGCTCTATAAATGCCCAAGGAGAAAGTGCCATTAGCTGTGTCAGACACTGTGAATGTAAAATACCACTGGTGCAAACAACACACACATTTAAAACTTTCAAGCAACATCAGAAGATTAAGATTTAGCTTGAAAGAAAATTAAAAGCAAAAAAACAGAAGTGATGCACTGGGAAAAATAAGTCTAGTGATTATACTTAGATAAAAATCTTCATTACTTTGCACTAACAGAAAAAGTATAGCACACATACATACACATATATGTATACACTTCATGCCATTTCCCTGGACAGACAGGAAAAGACAGTCTCACACAAACACACTGATGCTCAACAGAGCATTAGGAGAATAATTAATTAGTTTTAGACGACTTCATAATGCATTAGGATAGAATCAGCTTATTTACTGCAGTTTAATAAAAGCAAAAGGTGCACTCTGTACTCTCGCAGTGCAGTGAAGACTGTCCCTGCATCAAATGGCTCATGGTCATGTAACAAGAGATACAGTAGACCTAAAAGACAAACGATTATATCTTCATAAAACTGCAGAGGGACAGTGGAGATGAGGAATATAGCAATAAGAATTTAAAAAAAAAAAAAAAAAAAGCCCATATATGGCTCAAACTCTCGTTTATAGAATTGGAAAATTGCTGATTATTTTTAGAAGCTTGAGAGAAGGAGCACCAATGGCCTGCAGAGCATCTGCATTTGGAATATGACCAATGAAAAGGAGATCAAGTGTTGGAAGCATGATTTCTAAACCAGATTTTAGAATCCAGTGTCACAGGATGCAGGCTTTGGCAGCAAAGCTAGCAATATTTCAGTCTATCCCTAACCATGCAGCGTAACCTGACTGCACACTGTAGTGCTCACTGCACCTACCACAGCCATAAGCTTGTGATATTTTGCACTCACTAAGCTTAAGTCACTAAGGACCCATCTTCTGCTGAACCTTGTGGAGGGGATTCCAAGTGAAGCAGTTTGTTTTGAACTTAAAAAAAAAAAAACAAACAAAAAAAAACAAAAAAAAAACAACCAAAACCCACAAACTTCTATCAGTGTTAAAAGCAACACTGCTGTTCTATGTTCTCCTCACTGAGCCAAACCACAGACTTTGGAAGCCATCACGAAATCAGCTCAGGCTTAAAACTACAATTACTTACTAATGGTTCTAATATGAACTTGTAGTTTATTATACACATGGATTTCCCTACCACACTAAGTCCTCAAGAATCACCAGGTCAGCATCAGTTCCCTCAAAGGCAAGGTAAGGAGCTAGTCAGCACCATCACAAGCAGCAGGAACACATGCTCACCTGAATACTTCTAGCAACGAAAGGTTGACCCAAGCATCCAGAAAGAAAGATGGTAACAAGATAATGGTAGAAAAGCAAATGAGCTGGAAGGACTGAGAACAGCAGCCATTTGCCTCCAATGCTGTGCACATCAAGTCTCATTGTTGCACAGTGAATATGCAAATTTAGGCCTGCTAATTGGTTCCCATGGCCATACTTTTCTTCCAAAAAATAAAACAAAAAACAAAACCAAAACAAAACCTCAAGAATACAAGGAAAGAGAAGCAGAGAGTGTATTTGCCGAGCTATGTCAATTATACATGACAAAGTGAGTGACTGCGTCCTGAAACACAAACTGCATGACTTGCCATCTAGCAGGCAGCCCCTTTCTTCAAAGCATAATACACAATAAATGCCATTAGTATAGCCTAACATTGCATTCTAAGGTAAATAAAGTTTTTCACTGTTTTTCACTATTCGATTCCTTCTCAGTTTTCATGATCCAATGTACTGTTGATTAAGCTTCATGTCAAAACAAGTTTCACCTCAACTGAATGGACGATTTGCCTCCCTTATAATGCCAAGCCATTGTCCACCTGCTTCCTGCGGTGGATGCCAAGAAACAATTTCATGAGGAAGATAAGTAAAAATAGTTGTAGGAAGACTTGGACTGAATTTTAATGGGGAAAAGCAGCTAAATACATAGTATTTTACAGTCATCATTTGCTAATGAAGTTATATGTACATAAATGACTGCAAGAATTAGTGTGCTGCTTTCAAATTGTCTTTAGTTAGTTAAACATTACGAATGTAACTACTACTAAAGTGCAGTTACATGTCTTCCAGCCTACTGAACTACAAGATGCTTGCAGAACAGCGCTAGGAGGGACAAAAGTCAGAGGGATTTCTTTAACGGAGTCTTGGAGTTGCTTTTTTTTGAACTTTCCAAAAATAACTACGGTTAATTTTTATCTCCTTTATTTAAAGGAGAGAGGTTCAGTCCTGCCCAAGATAAATGAAAATAAGGCAGCTAAAAAAATCAGATTGATAGATAAAAAGATATGGTCTAAGAGGTCAAGTACAGTCACACGTTTAAAGAAAGTCTGTACACCACATGACTGACAGACATCCACAGGCATGTTCTCTCAAGTGATCTGTATAATTCATGCACTGCATCCTAGTTCTTGTTTTTTGTATGGTTAGTTCCATCACTACAGAGTTCTTGTTTACAGGGGCCAAAGGATGCAAGTGGCATTGATATTACCCTAGTTTCATCTTGAAGTACCCTACTTACAATTTTGTACTGTCTACTAAGAGGAGCATCTCAGACAGATGGACCTTATTTTTACAGAGAGAGCAAAAGAGTACTTTTATCTTTTTCTTCTGCTGCTTCTTACATGTAACTTACTGGAAATCATACCAAAATCGCCCAGTTAAAGATGACTTTCTTGGAAACAGACAAACTGTTACCACAGGGGAAGCAGCTAATGGAAATACTAGTTGCTAGCCCTTTACAGAAAGCCTCAACCAAGCAAAAAAACCACATTGTGCTGTTCTTAAAAGAAAGGCATGACAAAAAGATCCTCCAAACTGAACATGAAAAAAAAATTAAAATTTATTTAATAAACTATTATTAATTACTAAAATAGTGATCATTATCTAACTCATTTACAAAGTAAAAAAAAGGATGTGTGGTTTGTTTTTTTTTTTTAATTGAATACATTGCAGCATATAGTCACTATTAAGAAATATTCTGTTACTGGCTGTAGCTTTGACTTCTGTTTTATTCAAGAGCCCATTTTACTCTGCTGATCATCACAGCCTTGTGAGAAAGCTGGAAACAAGTGGCATTGCATTACCATTACAAAATAAAACTTTTTGTTCTATAGAAAGCATATCTGCTTTTATAAATTTCATATTGAAAACCACAATCCCAAGTCTCTACTAACTAAATTTCTTCTGCCAACATCAGTTGCATACATCATCAGCATCAAAGCAATTTTATAAATTGACCTGCTCTGGTTCTACACAGACATAGGTGTACACATCTACAATAAACACTCAGACATTAGCTTAGAGCACCTTCATAGGGAAGAAAGGACAATCACAATAAATTGTTTTGCAGTGGTTTTGTAACTTGATTCCTTCATCACTATGAATGTACACTGGTAAGGAAAAGCAAGGAATTGTAGATGTATGCCACCCCTCCACAAAATAACTGAGAAAAATACAAGAATATTTCTTTAAAAATATTTTTATATTACTGTGTACCTCATAAAAGACAACGGCATGACATAATAAATAAGGGAAAAAAACCCACAACACCCTGGAAAAAGTAACCAGATACTATAATTGCACCAATATTTACAGAGCACACCAAAGATCTATTTCCGGATACTTAAATCTTTACTTCAGATCTAGCAAAGCAGTATCTCAGTCCCAGGCAGTATATGGTAAACTCCCATCCAAAGTATATCAACAACAATTAAATAGAACTGTAGGCTCTGATAAGACTCCCTTATCCTCCTGAGGGGAGCTAATATAATAAGGCAATTAAAGGAAAGCAAGTTCCAACCCAAACCATTCCAGGATTCTATGATAATATTTGTCTTTTAATGTTAGCTGCATAAAGAGGACATACAAGACTGAAAATAATAAATAAAAGCAACCCTGAAAAGGATTAGAGCTTCAGTTAAAACTAACCTGGCAATCTGTCACCTGTGGATTATTAGTTATCCATCTGAACTTTTTATTTACAAATTAGATGGGCTAGGTACAAAATACCCTGAAACTTTCCTGACACTTTACATTCTGTCAATTATTATGGCACCTGTCAGAGGCATTCTTTCAGATCAAGTTTTCAGTATGTCAGTCAGAGAGGCAAAGTTTGTTCCAAAGAACATGAGACAACTCGAAATTCTGTAACAAAAGACTTACAAACAGTAAATTGGTATTTGTTTATCTAGCCATACAATTCCATAGGGAGTAGTCAGTTCACATTTGATTGGATTGGTTTCTTCTGTAAGAAAAAGTTACCTGCCGATTAGGCATGACATTATCTGCATTTGGGAGAAATTAAAATCAAGGCATTTTGTTAACTTTGCCCTTTAAACTACGCATGTATGTAACTACTATTCTTATAATAGGAAAGCACATGTGGTAATAAACCCAAAATACTTCAGGAAGTTTCTGTTTAAAAAATATACAGCGTCCTCAACACAGTGACAATACCACAGCATCACTGAAATGGTTTGCAATTTGGGCCTCCATCCAAATGAAGCCTGGCTTCATGTGAAGGAATAAAGAATACAACACAACTTTTCTACAGCACTTATGTACAGTATCCTAGGCAGAACATATACCAGTATCTCAGTTTTCCTAGGCACAGCTTCTTTCCTCCCAAAAATGTGGCTATGCAGAAGCATCATGAGTTCAGGTACCTGCTCTGTGATGTGTACCTGTACATATCCAGTAATCACAAATAAGTCTCCATTGTTCTTGCAAAAATCAACTCAACAAAATCCCAGCACCATATAAAGTCCAAAGAATTAATTCAGAAAAATCAGTGCCTAAAATGTGTCCCCTAACCTTCAAAAAGATTCATATCTTTATACACCTTAGGCCATGCAAGTCAGTATCAGGGGTGAAAACTTCATGTTTTTTCCTCAGTGCACAGCTTTCAGAACTACCTGTTTAGCCCAGTTCTGAATATGGGCTCTGACTCACCTGCAGCATTGTATGCTGTGCCACTCATACTGCCATCTGCGTTTGGCTGCATGTAACAATAGTTTAGGAGATTACAACCAGAATTATCCGTTCAGCCCAGCCCTAGTTTTTAATTATGGGCCCTGACTCTCCTGCAGTATTGTACACTGTGCCACTCATTAGAGTTGTACATCACCCCCATACTGGCATTTGAGTTTGGCTGCATGTAACAATAGTTTAGAAGTTGACAACCAATTTCACGTAAGAGAAGCCTTGAGTCACGGGGTCCACCATCTTTAAATATGTCTAGTAAACAAACCAGAAAACTGTACAGTGTTAAATCTTTAAACCACACATATCAAATGATATTTAGAATTTTCTGTTCCTTTCTAAAGGAAACTTTGAAAGGACATCCCCTACTTCAAATTCCCTGCAATTCTTCCATAGACTATCATACTAAAAAATTGCTAACCTTTTCTAATCTGACACGAAGCAAGCCCCAGCTTAAAGAATCAATATTTCATTTTGACTTTGTGCATGGTAGGCATAGAAGCATTTCAAGTTGACATCTAATATACCTGAAGTAATACAGAGTTTCATAGTCAAGCAGCAATTATAGAATCATTTAGGTTGGAAAAGACTTTTGAAATCATGGAATCCAACCATAAACCTAACACTGCTAAATCCACTGCTAAACCATGTCCCTAACTGCCACATCTAGATGTCTTTTAAATACCCCCTGAAATTATGACACCACCACTTCCCTGGGCAGCCTGTTCCAATACTTAACACCATTTTGGTGAAGAATTTTTTCCTAATAGAAAACCTAAACCTCCCCTGGCACAACTTGAGGCCATCGCATCCTATCACTTGGAAAAAGAGACCAACTCTCACCTCAGTACAAACTCCTTTCAGGTAGTTGCAGAGAGTGGTAAGCTCTCTCCTCAGCTTCCTTTCCTCCAGGCTTAACAACCCCCGTTCCCTCAGCTGCTCCTCACAGAACTTGCCCTCTAGACCCTTCACTAGATTCATTGCTCTTCTCTGGATGTGAAATCCCATAGGTTATTAATTCAACAGAGGAAAACACTTACCTGAGGGTAAGGGTCAACTGTTGCTCCTTTGACTTTACCAAGTCTGCTACTCTAAAAGTCGTACAGCCCAGGAAGCTTCTCTAGAAAACAAAGCAGAAAGAAAAGGTAAGGTCTCCATTACTTTTTGAAGTTTTCATTACTACTTTTTTTTTTTTTTTTTTTTTTGTGTCACACTTCAAAATCTTTCTTTGCTCCCTAGAAAATATTATATTCCAATAGAGTCAATTTGACACACTATCCAGTAGAAATTCTTTTATGCACCTGTAACATGATTATCAGTAAATTGTTAAACTTTGATTTTATAGGCAGGAACCTCTCTCTCTTTTATTAAGTACAGTCTGACAACCTGACAAAATGACAAGTTGCAAAATGTACGGCCATAGGAGAACTTCTGTTCAGCACAAGCACACCTGCATTTTGCATCATCTTCTTTCCATAACTGTAATTTTTAGATTACAAGAAATTTTAAGTTTTCAGTATTTTATCAAAGCTGGGTTTGCTATATTTTTTCTTCAAACCTTAGGCACTACCATCTATGAATTGCAAAAATCTCATCTGGCCAACTTTGCCCCAGAAACAATGGGAAAGAAAGTAATAGTCTACAGCCATCTTCTATCCATTTATCTTTCAAATATGTGACTCAACATCACTTGCTCTGAATAAATTATAATGAGATCTTAAAACTACAGTGAATTTTTGCAAGAAAATAATAAGAAATACAGTTTCTTTTCATTACATTACACTAATTTTACTGTTGGAATGCAAAGTAAAATTCCAAGCTATATTATACATGTTCTTGGATATACAAATTAAAGAAAATCAAGTTGCTCTGAGTTGACATACGCTGCATGTAGATAGTAACTTTCCCCTTTAGGGAAATAGAGAATTTGTTGCTACAGAGAAGTGTAACTTCCTCTAGTAAAAAAACCCTGCAGCCTGATTTCTTGCAGGAACACCAGCTGGATATTGAGTGTTTGAATGCTAACAATAAAGCCCTTCCTTATGATAGGTTTTCTTGCATGTAAAACATACAGTTCAAATCCAAATTCTCAATTTAGGTAAGCACTGACACTGGTCTCCAAGTGGGTAACTAAGTCATCACTTATGGCCCATTCCTATTCATGACACAGGCTTAGATTTCCCGTGCTTTCGTTGGCAGTTAAGTAGCAAAGGAAAAAAGATGCAAGCTGAGAGTCTATGGAAGGCTGGGAAAACAGCAGATTTGGGAAGTGTTGAACAGGAAGTAAGGAAGAAAAAATAAGACAGCCAGACAAACAAAGTTAAGGTTAGTCTTCCCTGCCAAAATGAAACATGTACTTTTACAAGAAATACGTCCAGGTGTGACACACCTAGAGTGAATATACAGATAGTTCCGTCTTCTTTTAGATCAGTCAATGACAGTGTTTCTTCACTAAAACTCTGTGGTAGCATGGTAAACACAAATTAGTTACCTCTTTACAAGAGTAGGAAGACACATATCCTTAGTAAAATAAGAACATGTTCTGAAGCACAACGTCTATATAGCAGCCTCTAATCTGGTATTTTATGGCATATAAATGCTTATATTTTCAACCTTACCGTTTGAAAAGAGGGAGGAGAATATTTGGAATGAAACTGATAGAAGTTGGGTCACTTAGGTGTTCTTTCTGCGGCACAATAGAACTGTAAACCCATTTAAGAACCCTAAGTCAGGGTTCACATATGACCAGGGCTAAGAAACAATTATATTGCTCTCTTACACAATCTAGGAGCTTTGGTCACTGTACAAAGTAACGAGCTCTCAGCATCATTATCTAGTTCTCAAGGGTCATGAAATTAAAGGTGAATAATTTTATGGGCTTAAAAAAATTCTACTCGCTTGGTTTTTATTTTTATGCTTATTTAGAATTAGGTTTTCTTTGCCTGACAATTAGGAGTTATTTTCAAAATTAAATAAAACTGTGAATGATCCCATGAAGAGAGTTATGCTAATGTTCAAGGGATCTAATTTCAAACAATGCTGGAGAATACTTTTTCACACTGATTTAGATACCAGTATTCTACCCTGGGGACTGAACTGGCAGCATACAAACCAGTCTAACTTTGCATACCTGATTTGGAGAGGCTTTAAAGGCAGGCTTTAAACAGAACTGCTGCTGTAATGTTAATTATAGAGTAAAGTTCCTCTGTAATTTTGCTAGCAGAGTACTTACGATTATAAATGTTAAGATATGTGCCTTGTGTAGTTTGATGAATAGTCTCAGCTAGCCAAAGAGAAAAGTCTCCATAATAGCTATATGAAAAGTTGAAACACATCGATTATTTCACTCAGATTGAACTTGCTGCCAAACTACAGGTTTTTCAAACACTAGCTGAACTGTGCCAAGGAGGCCCTGGTAATGCAGGAACATCACCTTAAGCTAAAAGTTTCAAATCCAGTTGGTTTAACTGTTTGCAGATGTAAATCTGATACCTGCACCAGACATTTGGTCTTCTATTCAGCTCTTGCAGGACCAACATTTCCCAGCCCCATGAGGTATCTGTATTATCTGGGAGGTTTCTCAGACCCCAAAATTATATCCCAATGCCTTTGCCAAAATTTTCACAGATCTACACAGCAAAATAAGTCCTCCATATGTCACTAGTGTAATTTCTTAAGATGGATTCAAAAGCAACTCTTACAGCAGAACTTTTTATACTCTGCACATGAAAACCAGAAAGTCAACAGGTCAGGCCCATTCGAGCAACATGATTCCAAGGCTCTTGATCTCATCCAGATTGCTTGTATGGCAGTAGCAGGAAGTCTAGATAGTTGTAGTACTTGCCTCAAGATAATTTCAGTTAAAAGGATTTTCAAGAACAATGTGAATGGGATTTCAGCAGACACTGAGACCATTAATGGTGCCTTGATTTTTTAATTCATTTAATTCTGCTAGCAAAAAAGCTTGTCAGCTCCTGTTCAGCAGTTAGGCAGAGCACCATTTCTCTTCATTGGGTGTCTGTTGATGAGCTGAGAAATAAAATCAGTTACTAAAAAAAAATAAAATTGCTTACTCCAGTATCTGCTCTTGGCTCCTTGTGATCAGGTAGGACACTAGTGCGGACCTGAGAAAGGAAGAAGAAAAAAACAATGCATTTTTTTCCTCATACTTTCTACATTATGGAGATAAATTTAAAGGGAGGAATATATGTATATATAATTTAATAAAAAATAATCTATAATTTAAAACCACAATATCTTCTGGTTCCTATGAGGAAAGTCTCTTACCACTAAACATTTGTCAGTCTGAACTTTCCTGATTCTCTAAAGGAGAAAGACTGTGCTCAGTTTTTCCTTTCATAAAATTAGACTCATTGCCTCTAACCTGAATGCCAGAATTCTTCATCTAGAGTTGTTAACTGGAATCAAAATTTTCAACCACAAATGGAAGAACACAGTACATTAGAAAGTATTCTATCCAAATAAGCACTTGCCTTTGCAGGCTGATCTGCCAAAGACATCCTGATCCCCAGTCTCACACAATGAGAGCCCTGTCTCCTCCTACCAATTTCTGAGCATCTTCGAGGTGACAGATATTTGTAGATATTCATAGAAGGAATGTAGAGACAACAGGGATCTCCAGCTGCCCCTGCATTTGCTGCAGGGTGGAGCTGCTTTTGTACACCACTACTTTCATTCCACAAGAAAACGCATGGGACAACATACAGTAATATAGGGGGACAGATTTAGTGTCTATATAATTTTATTGTTGAATGTTGGTTAAGAACAGAGAACCAATTAAACAGTAAAACTGGGATAGAATAAGTGTAAGAGAACCTCTGTAACACCCCTCTAACATGGTGTGCCTGAGCCAAAACAGCCCATTGAATTAGCTTGCTGGTAACAGGATGCCAGCTTCAGCAACTCACAAGGGAGGCATGTACTGAGGATTCGCATCTGTTCGATTACCTAGCCTAAATAACACATATCCATTTACAGCAGGGCCCCCCAAGGAACAGTTTTTGGCTTGATTTCAAAGTAAAACTCAAGCTCATTTTGCAAAACTGTAAGCAGAAGACTAATTTTTGTCCCATGCCCTCAAATGCATCTCTTAGTTCTTTTATTCTAGCTGCAACTTACCATACAAAGAGAAAACCTTACTTTAAAACAAAGCTAATTTTTCCTTCCTGTTTTTTTATCCTAAATACAATGTGTTGTTAGAAAAGGCCAACAAAAATCTACTACAGAGACACATCAAAGTAGAACCATAGCTTTTCTGAGTTAGCTCTTATGCCTTGATTCTGTACAGTGAGAAGAACTATTTTTCCACAAAAGCATAAAGATAACAAAGAAATGCTATAATTAATGTAGTAACAGCCAGCATATTTTAGAAATCTGTGGGATTCCTCAATTTGGTGTAATTTTAAATTTAGATTTTTTTCACTAATAGAACCATAGAATAGTTAGGGTTTGAAAGGACCTTAAGATCATCTAGTTCCAGCGTTAGTATCACGCAGGCGTTTGGCTTTCTATAGCATACCAGTAAAAAATTTTCAACACCAAATTTGTGTCAAAAATTTACCTGTAAATACTTCAAGTCACGGATTAAAATAAAACTACTGATATTTCCTTGGTGGTGGTACATGTTTCACCCTTTCAGAGGTTGGAAAGATAACTTACAGATCTGTTTCTTAAAAGAAGGAAGGGTGTCTATGACAGGCCATAAGATTCTACACCAGTAAAAAGCTGAGCCTCAAACAACATCTGGCCCAACATGGAAGTGAGGTATTTCCATTTTCTAATTGCTATAGATACTTATTCAAGAAACACAACAAATAATTTAAGAATGAAACTTTCTCTTCCTCACTGATTTATAAGAAGCAGCAGTCCAGCAAGTATTTTCAAACATGTGTAATTGGTTTTGCATGAAACAGGTGTGCTTTAAAGCACGAGGAAGCCTAAGTGTCTTTTATGCTTATAGAAACTAATGGACTCCAAACATAGGCTTAGAATCACAGAATATTCCTTTCTTTTCCTGGATGAAGTCTCAGTTCAGGAGAACTTATTTCTGCTTTTCTGGCCCAGCAGAGGAGTGGAAAAGGATTGTCAACACCTGACAAACCTACAGCATAAACCTTCCATATAACAAAAATTTCATTATTCCAAATGGAGTTAAATAAAAAAAAAAAAAATTTGTTGCTTGTTTGCAGTTCCAAACTCAATTTCATTAGTGTCACAATGAAAGGAATAGAAAAAGTATCCATAAACTTCAGGTTTGAGCTCTAAAATACTTTACAGTGTAGCTCCATGGTTCTTTTGTTTGTTTTCAGTTGGTTTAAACCACTTTATAACCAGTAATCATACAGCCAAATGTATGTAAGCACCATTGTTGGTGGGGCTGGCATTAGGCTGTTTTTCCCTCCTCTCTGAAATACATTTTTTTTGAAAGGAAACTGGATTTTTTGATCCAAGTGTACACAAATATTTATTATTCTTTAGAAACACTTTAAAATATTAATTAAAAAGCCATATATGTGTATGCAAACATATATGTAGGAGCTATTGTCTAGTCCCTTTCATGTTATCTATTGGCTGAGTTCCCAAACATACTTATACTCTCAGAATACTGCAATTATCAGAATCCTATTATGAGATGTCCACATAGGCCCAGGCCAGCAACATCACAAATACAGTCAGATAGTTTGCAACAAAATATAAAATCTAAGAAAGAACTCAACTCTAACCCCAATGCACAATTTATTTTTTTTTTTAAGAAAAGACATACAAAGGATTTATAAAAGCAAATATTCTCCCAGTGCATTGCCTGATTAAACAAACTACTGTACTTTTTAAAACATAGTCACAAACCAACTTTTCCCTAATGGACCTAATAGTATTCTAAAACAACTACAAAATATAAATACAAACAAAAAGGCAGATTTTAATATCAAGCATCCATTATTCTGTTAGAATTTGAGTTTTGTCATTATTTGCTCTAGGTTTTCCTGTGCAAAAAGCAAACTTCCGAAGGGTGAGTTTTAGTTTGGTGTGAGGCTGAACATCCCTGGAATAACACACATTGCAGCCTTACCTTCCCAGACAAGAGATGTATGAAGAGACGAAAGAAGTAAGCAAGAAAAACTGCTTGTAAACTAGGTCAAATGCAAAATGTTTGTGACAAGTATTCATTCCAATGATTTAGTTTGTAAAATAATACAGCTATCTTGTATGCACCACAGCTTGCAAACCAGTAAGAACACTAGAGTGGGTACTCAGGATACATTTCATTTTCTTTAAATTTCATGTAGAACAATATGCACTGAATAGCTATTCTTATACTTTAAAGTGCATTTATCACAGACATATCCAAGTGTCAAATTTCTCTAGGCATAAATGTTAAATTCAGCTTTAATTAACTGTCTTTTAGTATAAGGCAGCTTCATATGATTAAAAAGAACATTTCTTTCAGTCACTCATGGCAGTTTGAGCTGCATCCACACACACTGTCAAAGTTCAGAAAACTGAATCATTACCATTTTCAAAACTATTGTGCCTGCCCTTAATTAAAGCCTTTGCATTTCAGTTTGTGATCAAAGGTCATGTTCACAGGGCACTTAAGTTTTCAAACAAATGTTAGATCCTTTTCTCAGTTACTCTAGATTTACCTCATCAAATCACCAGCAGTTTCCAATGACTTCCCAGTACCTATTGCTGTTGGCTGCTCAAATGCACTCTTCTCTCACTGCTGTTATATGATACCAGCATCTCACTATAACTATGTACATGCCATTTCAGACAAAGCATAGGATGAGAGACCACTGAAAGTAGTCACTGAAAAATTGACTTATACTGTTTCAATATAGCACCTTCCATGAAGGCATTCACAATATCACCTCATCAGTATACAGCTGGCAGTGGTATAAGAACACATGCAGACAATTTTGCTTTTATGTTACCCGGAGGTGATCTGAGACAGTGACCATCTGCACCTTTCTTTCTCCAAAAGCCCTTTTGCACAGAAAGTGAACACTGAACTCTGCTAACACAGCCATCACAACTCCACAGACAGCTGCCATGGATAGTCAGTCCCCAGCTTCACCACCACTGCCTACCAACCATGCAGCACCAATCATCAGAGTCAGGGAGTAACCACTTGTCTTGTAAGCTTTTCATCACTGAAGTTGTAGCTCCACGTATATGTGCTGGATGAGCTGAAAATGCTGAAATTGTTACTAGGTTCTGCAATAATATTGATCAACTTTTATAGGATAGATCCCATTCCTGTACATGCAGCAAATTAATTTTTAAAAGAAGATAGTGATGAGACACTGTGCACATTTACCAGCTATTTATTTTCATTATAGAGATTAACAATTTGCTAAATAGTTCAATCAGCATAGCGTAGTCAGCAAAGTAAAACACTTCAATCAATATTTGCTGGATACCTGCTTATTGGCTGGAGAACAAAGACTATACAGTAATTTTCAACCTTTAGTGCACAGTTGTTTCTCAGAGTCCATATAAAACAAAAATGAAATTTTTTTCACAATAGACATGCATCTGGTACTGAAGGGTTTACTGTTCCAATGGAAAGCTGTTTGCAGAGACACTAAAGATGAAAACAAATAAAAGGAATATAAGCTATATAAACTTCACTGCTATGCTTTTGCAGTAGTACAGTACATGTTTTATTATATAGTATAGTCTATAAGAAACATTATATATTTATATTCATAAAATATAGAATAAAAAGTGATAAAATATTGTCTATATTTTCCCTACTATCTATAGTAAGGAAACTGGGACTTTACTACATGCATGCCCCTATTATCTGCTGTATACCAAGTGACATTTTCAGCTGTTTATTTATCTGAAAGGGTCAAATAGAAGGGCAGGCATATCTGCATATGGTTGGATACTTTTTATAGGCAATGTTAGATCTTGACTCTCATGCAGTGTGTGGAGTCAGAATAATTGGAGTCAGAATAATTCATTTGTGCAGCACTGAGACTATCTACTACCTCCAGGCACACTTTTCAAGAAATAATGTAGGCATAATATGAGCATAATAGAAAATACGAACTTCTCAGTCTCTAAGAATCATCATAAATTGCTTTTCTTCCCA